CGCACTAAACGACATGGCCATAGCATGCACTCACGAATGTAACCAACGAACGCATACATTAACAAGTACGAATAGATCGCACGTAACCCAGTGGCCATTGCAATAGCACTTGCCAACAGCACAGAACGCGCATGACATCCTTAACCAATGTTATCGAGGCAATAAAAGACGCATGTACGCAATGCCATGCATCACTCGACGCACGTAACACCATACATTTACATAGTTAAATCGAAGACGCAATGTACGCATGCCATGCATGCACTCATCAAGCCGGCGCCGCCCGGTGCGCCACTCAACATAAAACACATAACATTTACCATGTTAATCCGGAATAGACGTCAACCGTTACGCAAATGCCATAGCATGCACTCCACTGCGAGAAAAACACGAACCACAACAATTTACATGTTATACGGAATAGATCGCAACGACGCATGGCCATGCAATGCACGTCAAGCGCACGAGACGCAATACATTTACATGTTATACGAATAGAACAGGCACGTACGCATATGCCCATGCATGCACTCAACGCACGGAAACGCATACATTTACATGTATAATCGAATAGACGCATCTATCGCATGTGCCATCATGCACTCATCAGCACGAACGCAGACATTACAGTTATCGGAAGTATTAGGACGCAATGTACGCCCATTGGCCATGCATGCAACTGACTCACGAACGCATCTACATTTAATCATTATCGAAAGAACGCACGTGACGACACGACATGAATGCAAAAGTCACGCAACGAACGCGAGTCGGACATTACAGATATAATCTGAAATAGACGAGCATGTACGTCATTGGCCATGAGCATGCACTCACGCACAGAACACAATAACATTTGTACAATGTTTATCGGGAATAAGAAGCAATGTACCAGATGGCCAATGGCCAATCCACTCACGCACGAACACATACATTTACAATGTTTACGAATAATATTCGCAAGCGATGGGTCTGACCTCTAGTAGGCCGTGGATAACAGAGTTATTGTTATTAGATGTAGGGATGTAGCCTAAGCACTGGTGGGATAACAGAGTTATTGTTATTAGGTGTAAGGACGTAGCCTAAGTACTGGTGGGATAACAGAGTTATTGTTATTATATGTAGGGATGTAGCCTAAGCACTGGTGGGATAACAGAGTTATTGTTATTAGATGTAGGGACGTAGCCTAAGCACTGGTGGGATAACAGAGTTATTGTTATTAGGTGTAGGGACGTAGCCTAAGCACTGGTGGGATAACAGAGTTATTGTTATTAGATGTAGGGACGTAGCCTGAGTGAAATTCTAGGAGGGGTGGCGCAACATATTGCGACTCTGCCAAGTATGGCCAGTGAGGGGCACAGCCCTCATTCTACATGCATTTTGTGGCGAGCGAGCGTGTGTGTGATGATGGGTTCACGAATGACTACGTGACGATTTAAGCTCATTTTAGGGTTATTTACATTTCATGTACTTTTTTACTCTAGTTTGGTAGAATGACTTCAAGTCGACTTTTCACGCTTCTCGTAATGCTAGTTACGCCCTCTGCACATACAGTCATACACACACGCACGCACGCACGCACGCGCGCACACACACACGCACGCACGCACGCACACG